CCGACTGGCCCCCCTCGCCCGCCGCCGCTGCTCTTCTTCGACTGCACCCCCCCCCACTCTTCTGTTAACGTTCATTTAATATATATTAATAATAATATTTATTTAATATATTATTACATGTTTTTAAAAATTAAATCACTAAACGCAGTTTCAGTTTTTTTTAAAACTGAAATCAATCTCTGAATAAAACTACCAAACGCAATTTCAGAAATGATTCCAAAATGAAAATAAAAACGTTTTTGTTTTCATTTTCATACAAAAAATAAAAACGTTTTGGAACCAATTCCAAACGCACCCACTGTTTTTTGTTTTCGTTTTCGTTTTTAAAACATTTGCTAACAAACACGGTTTGCAAACCGTTTTCATTTTCGTGTCTCAAAAGACGTGCAGAAACGTTTTCAAAAACAATCTGAAACCAATTCTAAACGCACCATATTTTGCACTTGACAAGCCATTATTGTGCTAGTACTTTTTTAGAAGTCATATCTTTTTGGCTTTAATTGTAAGTTTTTCTAGAGAGCCAAAGTTGTTCTAATAGATCCTCCTATTAGAAGAATGAAAGAGAAATGAAGAAGAATAAGAAACTATCTTTCATTACTCAAGAAGAGGTACAACCGAGAAAACATATATCGAGAGGCCTTGGATTTGGTTCACACAATCCTTACCTCACAAGACAGCTGGCATAACAGAAAAACAAAAAACATGAATATTCGAAATACATAAAATATGACAATATGCTAAAATTCTAATACTCCTCCTCAAGATGGAGAATACAGATTGTGAATTCTCATCTTGCTCAAGAGAAGATGAAATTGAGAAGAATGTATGGCCTTGGTAAAAGGATCTGCCAGTTGATTGTGTGTCGCTACATGCATTGTTTTAATGATCCCATCTTGTGTCTTTTCTCGCACGAGATGACAGTCAATCTCGATATGTTTGGTGCGCTCATGATAGATGGGGTTGGCTGCTATATGAAGAGCGGCCTGATTGTCACAATAAAGTAACGCCGGACCATGATGGTGAACACGCAGTTCACGAAGAAGACCGAGGAGCCAGACAATCTCACACGTGGTGTTGGAAATGGAGCGATATTCAGCTTCTGCCGAAGAACGAGAGACAACTTGCTGCTTCTTTGATCGCCAAGAAATGAGTGAAGATCCAAGGAAAATACAAAAACCAGTGAGAGAGCGACGTATATCAGGGCAAGTCCCCTAATCAGAATCCGCAAAGGCTTAAGTTGAAGTGTAGAATTAGAAGGAAAGAAAAGACCTGTCCTGGAGCTCTCTTGATATATTGTAAGATGCGGAGTGCTGCTTGGAGATGTGTGTTGGGCTCCGAGTACCTGCAACACGAATTCACACACAACAACACAAGAACACCACAGATAGACTACTGAAGGATCCTCAACCAAAGGATCCAATTCATTAATCGTCCCTGGAACAACCACGAGCTCAGCTCGGCTAAGAATACAAAAATGGTAAAAACAATATTCTCTCAACGTGTCTCTCTCTCTCACCGATTCCCCCTTAAGAACCCCTCAATCCGTTGTAACCTCCCTACTCTCTAGGCACTATTCCCTAGCCTAGCCTAACTGCCTATAATCCAGCTCAGAAACTACCTCACACACTCACATCCCTTCCGGTAAAAACAATATTCTCTCAACGTGTCTCTCTCTCTCACCGATTCCCCCTTAAGAACCCCTCAATCCGTTGTAACCTCCCTACTCTCTAGGCACTATTCCCTAGCCTAGCCTAACTGCCTATAATCCAGCTCAGCAACTACCTCACG